ACGGATGAATCCATTGCAGATGGCTTAGTGGCTTAGACTTAGTGTAAACAGAGTCATAAACCTAGTCAAACCATTCTTGCAATGATTGAAATCTTGATCGGTTTTTTGTTTCCTTCTCAATATCACTTGGTTTTAAGAAGATAGCTCAAGCGTTTGCGTTGTAATTCGTTTTCTGTACAAAAACTCCCAGTTGCAAAGCAATTGCAAAGTTTTGCATATTATATTTTGTTGTAGCGAATACAGCGAATACTTTTAATGGAGCAAAGCAAAATGTTAAAATGTAGCATCTATGAAAATCTGATTGTTCTCCGTAGATCAGTACGAACATGTCACAAATAGTGAAGTTTGTTCTTACTACTGAAAGCATGTGGCTGTTGCAGAGCAAGACCAACAACAATGGTTACAACCATCGGCCGTTTGATGTCTTCACTCGATTTATTACGTTCTTCAACTGTTTGACATGGCCATGTTTTCCGCCAGCGTTGACTTGAAAAAGTTGTTGTTCGTTCATCAACCAGTGTGACGAAACCTTGGGGTTTCAAGGACTGGTGCAGGGATGGACCTACTATGCCTCCAGCGCAGGAGAATCGTGGGACATGATGGGGCGTCGTGTTGCCTAGGTAACGAGCCAGATCCTTCGAATGTTGCAGGAACAAGGGACTTCACATTGAATGGGGAGGAAGGTCAGGACCAACAGATGCCATCAGCTTGTTCCGTATGACAATGCTCGCGTAGCATGGAAGGTCTCACCACGATTCGGCTCGAGCTCTTTCTGGATGCGTCGGAGCAATATGCCGCTGTCATTCCGAGGCCGGAGGATCATGCGTGGCTGTTCGAAGACCACCGGGTCAGTGATGGGGAGTGGTTTAAGGTCACGTCAGCCAGCTGGGCCGGCCCTCTCTGGGACGCTGGAGATGGACAAGAGCTCTTCTTTGCCACTCTATTAAACTAACTTTCTTTGTATCGAGCTGGGCCGATTTGTCTTGAGAAGAGAAGGTCCTGGATGGTGGCCCTCCTGGCCACGTTGCTGATTGTCTCTGCTGTGATGTGGCTTCTCGGATGGGTTTTTCAGAACCTTGCAGATGGGAGGCACGTCTTGTGGTCTTTGTCTTTGAGGTTGCTAGTTGTCTTTCGGTGTAGCTTGATTTCAGAAAGTGTTGATCTGCATGTCCGTCAGAAGGCCCATTTTTGGGTACGTGTCCTCAAAGCTTTTGTACAAGTTTGTTACAAGGAAGGGATGAAGGAAGTGAAGGAAGAAAACGTAGGTATCGAAGGCATCGAAGGCATCATCGAAGGAAGGAGTTGAAGGAATCGAAGGAAGGAATCCAACGAAAGGGAGGGAGGGGGGGGGGGGTGGGGGGTTGTCGAAAATATGGGACCCCTCGTGTCGACCCCAAATAGTAGGATTCCGTTCGAATAAGGGAGGGCAAGGACCCTCCTGGAATTCTGCCTGGGACTGGACTTGGGGCGTTTAGGGTCTAGGGTTTAGGGTTTAGGGTTCAGGGTTCAGGGTTTAGGGTTTAGGGTTTAGGGGTTTCGGGGTTTCGGGAGCCAGGTTCCAGAGCCCCCTAGACTCCACCCAGGTTCTTCATCGAATGCATCACCTTGGGCGTGCAAAGTTTCACGGCTAACTTGGACGATTACAAGAAGGTCGACTTGCGCATGTGGAGTTGAAGCAGACAACAACCCCCCGGTACAGAGAGTAGTCCCATGTTTGTTCACCACTGGCGTGTCAGGGCGTTGAGCAGTTTCTCAACTTTGTAAAGCCGATCCTTCCGGAGAGCACGTGGAAGGATAGGGTTCTGATATTTGCAGGGCACGGTAGGGCAGTAGTGCCACATGCGGCGACGCTTGTACAGAATAAGCAGCCCGCTAGCCGAACAGAATTCTGCACTGACCCTAAACCCTAAACCCTAAACCCTAAACCCTAAACCCTAAACCCTAAACCCTAAACCCTAAACCCTGGTAGGAGCTGCAGCAGAAGATTACTTCCTTCTTGACGAACGAGCTGGCATCGCTTGCTTCCCAGCTTGCCTCCATGCTCGAGTCGCTGAGCTTCCAGGCGACCGATGAGCATCGTGCTTTAGGGTTTAGGGTTTAGGGTTTAGGGTTTAGGGTTTAGGGTTTAGGAAAATCAGGGACCCTTAATATAGCCCCCCCCAAACAGTAGGATCCCCTTCTAATAAGGACCCCAATAAGGTGCCCCAAATTTCGGAAACCTCCCACTGTGGGTAAAGACCATAAGCTCTGGAAGATTTCTGGAAGGCTCTGATGTTCTTTGTGTACCTCTTCTTTTGGATCTTCGAGCCTCTGCCGGTGAGCAGTCCGGTGGCAGAGGCTGGTGCTTCTTCCGTCTCAGATGGGAGATGAAAATCTTCAGCTCGCATTCGCTGTGTTGAGGTCTTCAAGTCCTATCTCCTGATGAAGACGTTTGTTTGCCTTCTGTTCGCTGCCTTGATGAGTGTGGCTAGACCGCATCTGATCATTCAGGCAGCGATGTGACAGACCTTGGAGATGTGCTGGTAGCAAAGGCCATGAGCTTGAGAAATCCCAACCTTGCCCCGAGGTCTTGCTCATGTGCCTGCAGTGCAAGATCTGGAGTCTCTTTTTTGCCGTGGTCTCAGACATGGGCCGGAAGGGCCGCAAATGAACCCAGATGCCAGTGAAATTCTTGGTGAGGTGTTGACCTTCCTTCTGAACTTCATTCCAGAAATCGGTGCCACGGCTGAGGATGATTAAGCACCGGGTGCACCACAGCCGCACAATCGCGGGGGGTCTTCGGGGTGCCTTCGGAGGTGCCATTGCCTCGGCAATCCTGACGGTCCCGGCCATCCTTTTTGATGGGCACCTGACCATGGAACGGCGCCTGGAGAATTTAATTTGGCATCTGGGACAGCATTGTGCCGGGCTTGTATTCAATGAGTATCGATGTCGTGATTGGCATGCTGGCCCGATAGCCCAGTCCTGCAACCTAAATCAGTAGGGCGGGGGTTGAACTCAAGCATGTTAAGCCCGGTAGCCTTCTTCCCTCAAGCCGCAACATGACACCGTCAGCACAGAGCGCGAGCCGCTATCTTTTTTCCCAGCTCGGGTCATGGCTAAACAGCTCGGGGCTCCGATGCACCGCTAAAGACTACCCTCCGATGTGCTCTTTAGGGTGTTGGGGTGTTGGGTTTTTTGGGGCCGTTAGGGTTTCAGAGCTTTGGGGTTTAGGGTTTGCAACCAGGAAGGGCACAACGGCAACGTCGTAGGTCGGTGTATATGGTGTTTGCGTCCTGGAGCGGCGCAAGTCAAGTAGTGGCACACTTTGCCCATGAGATGGAGGGACCATCCGCAGCGCTCAGGTGCAGTAGCGAGTAGCTAGCACGATCAGTTCGGGGTTGGACAGGCTCGTGATCATGGGAACCGCCATCAAGGTCTTCACAGGCGCTGCACCTCACGAGTCATGGCTCGACGAGGATCTTCATCACGTGACTATGAGCCGCCAGGAAATGTGGTGGAGGTGCAGATGTATGCCACAATGGGTGGCCAGTTCATGCGCATGCACCCCGTGATCATCATGGCGCCGAAGTTGCAATCTGGTCTTTGGAGCTCTCGTTCAGCACCTGCTGGCACCATACCAGCTTGTGGTCTCTCAATTTCAGATGTCTGCTGTCGCAAGGCCTTGATCATGCTGTTCTCATCCTTGCTTGGTGTGACTGGAATGTTCTTGGCCACTTGGCTACAGGGTAGGTTGTCAGGTTTTTGCACTGCCAGTCCGGTGGTGAGTTCACGTCAAGAGTGCTTCAGCCTGTGCAGCGGCGTGACATCGTAGTTCACTCACCCGCGGCCCCCTTGTTTCGGGAGATTTCACAAGGCTGTTCCGACCATGGCGGCGCTGAAGTACTACTTGGTCTCAACCGACATGCCGGACCAATTTCAGCATCCGCTTTTGGTGGCAATCGAGGGTGATGCAGCTTGGCTGAAATCGCAGCAGCCTCCGTGGATCGCGCAATTTCAAGCCATGTCCGACAGCAAAATGTAATAACACCTGGAACATTGGACATGCCAATGTCATGAGACCCTGTGTGAAGAGTCGTGATACAGAACGCTTCAAGCTTTACCATTTATACCATTTACATTGTTCTGGAAGGGGGGACTCTGAGATGAGGCGACGGGGCCACACAAGAACTTTGTGGATCAGTGGCGCATTCAGCAGCATGCCTTTCGACGGCATAGCACAAGCATTCCAGTCTCTGCTCGCTGTAGGTACTGTAGGGTTTAGGGTGTAGGGTTTAGGGTTTAGGGTTTAGGGTTTGTGGGTATGTGTGCCACGCGAGTTGACGGGTCCTGAACTTCCTTGCAAAGCTGCACGACCGCAGGCGGCAAACTCCAATGCCACCAGCGCGGTGGAGCTTTCAGCACCATAGGTCATGTTATGTCATGTTAGCCTATGTTGGGGTTTACGAAAAGAAGGGACCCCCAATATCGACCCCCAAAAGAGCTAGATTCCCTTATAATGAGGACCCCAAAAGAGGGTACCCCCCCTTACATTCAGAAACCCCCCCAGGGTGAGTTTTCCTGGAGCGGCGCATGAAGGAAGTCCAAGCCTGCAGAGTTGGCCTGCGGTGCTCTTCGGACATGTAGAGGCCCTTCGTGCAGAGATCCGCCGCCCATCGACGGTATCTAAGATCGAGGCAGTGTTCACTCTCGCTTGGAAATGCAGCTTAAGTACAGAAGCGCGTGATTTCTTTGCCCATGCTGGCTGCCAGTTACGCCTGCATGTCCCAACACATGTCCCAGTGATTAGGTGTTGGTCGAAACTCAAAACGTTGCAATCCGCGCAGACTCTTGCTCATCCAAGCCGAAAGAGTTTCACCTGAGTTGTCTGTGCGCGCTTGGCAGCACATTCAAACGTTATTCAAAGAGCTCGTGCTGCTTCCATCTTCCACGTTGCTCCCCGTCACAGACTTAAGACTTTTTGTTGCGCCTGTTCTAAGTTTGGACCTTCCCTTCGCCAGGTACGGCGGAGCTCGTGGAAGGACAGAGGCGCTTGTCATCCGAAGTTGGTACCAGGACGGGTCCCCTTTGCTCGCCTTTGCAACTGATGGGGCGCCCCTTCGAAGTGAAAAAGAATGCTACAGAACCTGACAGGATCTTCTGGGCGCCGGAGATTTTTGGAAAGAGCTATGGCTTGAAGGCCGCACGGGGTTTGGGCCACGTACTGGTGCATTCCAGGACGTAGGAGTTCCAATGCCGAGCCTCGGTTTCTGACCTTCGGAGCTTTGAGCTGTGTAGAGGTCGATGTCTGGGCCCTCGGAATCATCATGTACGGCCTGCTGGATGGGCGCTTTCCCTTCAAGGCGGCAGCTACGAATGGGCGGTTTCGGACTCGTGGTGCGACCTCTCTGCACTGCTCCCGCCCGCGACGTGCAATCGAAAGCCCGAGCTTGAAAGTTCCCGGAGCCTGCACGGGATCTGGAGTGTTTTTCATGAGCCTGTTTTTGACTGCTTTTGAGCTGCCAGGATGAGCACGACATCAAGACGAAAGAGCCCAAGTACCCCAAAAGGCGCCGAACTGGGTGCAGCCCACAACCGTAGCCCGTGGCATTCTGGTACCTTTTCCCTAGTCTAGTCCCAACAGCGGGCTTCAGACGCTCAGCATGCTTGGATGTTGTGTTGCTTGGTTTGGAAGGGTGATGTGTAGCTCGCGGCAGCCGGCATGTTGCCTTGTGTGGTGACGTCGTGGAGGCTGGAGCCCCTGTGCCAAGACTTCATTCGAGTCATGCTGCTCAAGGAGGAGGACGTGCGCGCAACTGCAGAAGATGTCATGGTGCGCCACCGCAGCTGGCAAGCTGGAGCAGCCTGGAGCCCAACACGTCCCGCTGACAGGTGCATCGATGGCTGTCAAGCTTTGCAGGCCGCACGCGAGACAAGGCGCGGCAGAGCCTCAATGTGAATAGTTTATGAAAACTGGGGCTGTACAGCAGCATGGCTAGCTTCTGCTCACAGTTGACCTGGTGTCTGCCCAGAGCAGGATCAGTCCGAGGACTTGGAGAAGATGCCAAGCTCAGAATCGAGAAATGGCCGGGCCCATAAGGTTCGTCGCTTCGCTGTGGGTAATGTGACTCGAGTTGAAGACGTCGAGACCGGGCCTTTCTGAGGCCGGCGGCGAAGCTCAGAGTCCTTGGAGGCTGCGGCAGACGTGGCAGACGGGCTGACAGCTGCATTGTTGTTCATGAAATTTGTTGGTTCCGAAGGTATGCATGTGTGCCTGGCGTTCTTGCACCAGGGGCTATCAAATCATACCAAGGGCCCAAACCCTATGGAATTGCAGAACATGGGGGCAAGCTGTCTCAAGAAAATGAGAGGAAGGAGGATTCAGATGATCTAGGTCAGGGCTTCTGGGGCGAGGGCAATGGTCAGCCTGGAGACAGCCCATGCAACACACATACACACTAAATAACAGTATATATATATAAATATAACTGTGCATACATATGTACATACAGACAGACTCCATTCCCCACCCGCCCTCCCGTGGTAGGGTCCAGGGCAAGCCAGGTTGCTATGGCAGACAATGGACGTGCAATAAAAAGTGCTCAACCAGATGTTGAAAGCCTAAAGCCCAATGTCGAATGGCAACTCCCATAGTAGCAGCGGCCACTTTCCAAGCGACGATGTTAAAGCCAGAGGCCAGCCCTAAACCCTAAACCCTAAACCCTAAACCCTAAACCCTAAACCCTAAACCCTAAACCCTAAACCCTAACCCTAAACCCTAAACCCTAAACCCTAAACCCTAAACCCTAAACCCTAAACCCTAAACCCTAAACCCTAAACCCTAAACCCTACACCCTAGACCCTAGACCCTAAACCCTAAGCCCCCAGCACTTTGAGCCCTCTCTGCCACTTTCTGCAAGATGGAGCAGCAGCTGTCGCAGGTGCCAGTCCAGCCATTCGAGCACGAGGAGCCCAACTGCAGTGTCTGCTTCTCAGAGCAATGGGGGCCCAAAGAGGCAGAGTTATTGGTTCTCCGGCTGGTTCTTAGCAGGGAATGAGGGAATGAGGTGCCCATATAGTCCCTCAAGGGGCATATATATAGGGCCCTAATTCCCTCATTCCCTACAAAGAACCAGGGGGTTCTGGTCCTCATGGGATTTGCCCAGAGTCGGTTTTTCTGCTCTGGTCCATTGTCATGCCTGATCGGGCTTGATGCATCAGCGTCACTAAGCAAGTGATCTGAAGAATGCTGCACCTTGAAGTGCTTTTCCGCAACTTCCGAAGCAGGTTGCTGAGAGACGACGTGAACTCATGGAGCGGTTGAACAACGAGCACGCGAAGGCACGAGGATGAGTGATAGCTTCGATTACACTGGGCAGATGCGCCTGGCCGCAAGAGAGATGTGTGTCGACTCGCTTGTGGCTGCTGGATTCCGTTGTCCTTGTTAGCTTGGGCAGCATGCTGGATTCTTGCCGGGGCTGTGCTCATGTGGCACTTATATGTCCGAGTTGATCTTTCCATCTCTGCAAGCAAGAGTGCTTACAGGGCCCGGCAGCGGTGGGTTTCATGCACTGCGCCAGCTTGACCGAGCCAGCGACCCAGACGAGGAATCCTTGTTTGACATGCGACGTCTGCGAACATGGCTTGAGGAGCTGGAGTTCTTCTTGCAAGTGTTGCAATTACTTGATGTTGTAACTGCACATGCTTTTGCACCTCACAGAAGCTCAGTCCCGTGCGAGAGAATTCAAGTCATTGTCAGAGAGCTGCTTAGCTGGTGAGCAGCTTGTGATGTTGCTTGTGCTGCTTTTCTGAAGCATGTGTTTCAGATTTATTCCAAGCAATTTCTGCAGAAGTCCTCTGCTAGGTTCTCGGTGCCCGATCGCCGGCTGCCAGGGGCACACTGGCGGTACCAGTGGTGGGACCGGAAGCAGATCGAGGTCCGTGAATTAAGCGTGATCTAGGCTTGGCCTGATGGACAGCTGCAATTTTTCAATACTATAGATTTTTCAAGTGCATGCATCTTACTGTAGCCTGCTCAGGGCACGTTTCGAAGATGAATGCTTCACGCTTTGCAGTTGGTGTTATGAAAGATGCTGGATTTGACTGACAAATGCTGAGAGTCGGCTTCGACTTATTATCTTCAGTTGCGCCGCAGCTCCAGGCCGAGAATCTCGGACCTCGGAATGCTGAGGGCCATGAGCGCAGCTCGGCTGCCCAAAATACGACCCAGTCTCCATATTAATGTTGTGAAGCGAGTTTTTAGGGTTTAGGGTGTAGGGACTTTCGCACTTGAGGGTGCACAGATTGAGAGAGGTTCAATGTTTTAGGGGACAAGAAGTTGACTTGGATGACTCATCCGAGGCACCCTGGAAGATGTTTCCAGGGAGCTCGACAGGCCTTGTGCACTGACTGCCTGGTACAGGTGGAGCCTAGTCGGAAGATGCTCGATGTCAGGTCTCCTCACATCGTCGGCAAGATACTGCAGGAGCTTTTGTGCATAATACGGATCACCTGAGAGCCGTTGAATCAATGAATGATGGTGCCTGGGGTGGTCCATGTGGACGTTCAGATTCCACCTGCGGGCTTTCCCTCCCAATTTCTTTGGAACTACTCTCGGGCATGCTCGCCTCCCCAACGTGGCTGACCAGTCGGGGGATGGGGGTTGGGGGCCCTCTCTGTTTCGGAATTGCCAGGGTCTTTAGGGCCTTCTGGGGACTTTAGGGGCCTGTGGACCTTTCAGATTCAAATGCTCCCAAGTCTTCAAGTACACATACTGTCGCCTTTTTTGTTATTGGCTCAGCTTCTCTGCTTGTCGAATATGAGAAAGTTCTGAAGAGGGACTGTTTTACCACTGGTTGCCACCACCTCGGAGTGCTCCCGTCTAGGGAGGTTGTTGGCGCTGTGCGCTCCTCGTCATGCCTCGTCTCCCTGCTCAATTGAATGGCACAATGCCCGCAGCACAGGACTACGACATTGACATTGCGAAGTTTGGCGTGGGAGAGGCTTTACAAAGCTGTCTTGGGCAGTGCTTGATTGTGATGCCAGTCTGATGTCCACGATGATCCGTGGTGATTGCTGGTGAAGCCAGGATCTACCCACATGCAGTGAACATAGGGAAAACTCATGCAAGGCAGAGAAGGCTGCTGCGGAGCAAGACAGTCAATCGTATCACCTTTCCCCCCCCCCCCCCTTCGCTACTTCCATCTTCTTCTATACAAATGCTGCTTCGTCATTTTGTGATTTTGTTTGGCTACTTCCACCTTTTTCTGTATGTGGCTTCACGTTTTAGTTGTAAACGCTGCGCGTCAAAGGCTCGACCCGGACGGACAGCAGAGCGGTCTTGGTGTTTCGGGCCTTGGGCGGATTTTGAAGCACGCCCCCCGTCAAGCGGTGTAAAGGGTGGTTGGGTGGTGGACCATGCCTGTGCCCTGGTATAGGTCATGCCGAGGAATTCCCAGCGCGTGAAAGTCTCAATGTCCATTCAAAAACCTCCTAATGAACGAAAAGGGGGTGGAGAGGCGGTGCTCAGGGGTCCTCGTGGAAACCTCTGACTCCCATGGCCAGGGCCGAGGCGAATGTGTTTTCTGGGCTTGCATAGGTGCTCCTACACTTGACATATATTTCTTGTTTAGCGTGTTTCCAATGTCTCGTTCTGAAGTTTACCTTGTCTCAGCTATTTTTGAATGAGCAAGTTGAAAAATGACACTCGTGTGAGCCCGCAAACGTGTCTTCACACCAGGCAAAGACCCTTGATCAGCTGGCTTCCGAGGCTTTGGCACTTTTGTTTGCAGAGTTTGCAGGTGCTCTGTTACATGTGATGACTTGCTACTATTTGCTTAAGAACCCCAACATAAAAAGTAATAATCCCTATACTACCCTTAATAAGGAAGAATATCTTTTTCGAGGTTCTTAAGCAATTAGTAGCTTGGGGTAAGAACTGCGACTGCTGGTGCACATCTGAAACTTGCCGGGCCTCTTGCTTTACAGCCAGTGCTCTAGTTTTCTTCTTGCGAGGTGCAGAACGGATCTGCCCGCCTGATGCTGGATGCCACCACTCACAAAAAACTGGTGCCCTTCTGAGCACAAAAAGCACGTAGAGCACATGTATGTTGCTGCTGCAGCGACGACAGCCACTTAAGAACCTTCATCATGCCCTATGCATCTTTGCCCGCAAGGTGCGTGTGGTGGATGTAGTATTACTTCGACTATACTCGTCGTCCAAGAAGGCCAGACTCGACCCTACCACAGCGTGTGGCGTCAGATTGCTTGGGTGGGCTGTGGAGGGCTGTCAGACAAGTTCTTGGAGCGGCCTTTCACGTGGAACGCTCTTTAGCATGTCCTGGAGATTGGTCTACAGACGGTTCTCTCAGCTGTCTCCTCTTGTGGTGTGCATGATCTTTGCCATACAGGCAGTCACCCGGTGCTTTTTGTTGCCAATGCCTGACCTGGCCGAGTTGCCTGTAGCATTGACCAAGTTCGACAGCCCCAGAATGTGAGAGAGTGCTCTTCGACATCTTGAGCTACCTAGGCAAGCTTAGGATCCAGGGTTTAGGGCTTAGGGTCTAGGATGGTTTAGGGATATATGTATGGTATCTGCAGTCCAGGGAGTAACTCAACTGACAGGACCGCCTGTTGATCGAAGTGGGGGAGCAGTATCCTGATGGGCGAAGGCAGGACGGCTGAGTTGGGAGAGCGCCCAGCAGAACCGAGAGAAGACGGCAGCACAGTGCCGTGCCATTGAATCATTCTTCTTGAGGGGCACTGATCCAGGCGTGCTGCCTCGCGATTGCCGGGAACGAAGAAGTTCCCTTATGAGAATGGACAGGCAACAGCGCAAGTGCAAGTTCTCTGCCTATGTCAGTTTTGTCTTTCAGTTTTGTCCGTGGTGGGCGAAAGTTTGCCACTAGCTCATTGGGAGTGCCAGGAGACGGCATTCCGGATCTTGAAGGACTCCCATGCATGCTGTCGGATCTCTTCTTGCGGAAGGCTGTTTCCTACCTTATCGGGTCTCTACCAGCAGAGAAGCTCCGAACGAAAGAGTGAAGATTGCAGTTTAAACTTCGAGGATCTTCTCGGGGTGACTGCGCGGGCAGCCAACTTCGCCTTCGAAGACACTGAAGTCTACGAGGAGGCATGGGCGAATTGGTCCAGAGCTCTTGGCACGCTGAAGTTTAGACGTTAGATAATGCGCTGTATTGCAGAGGGGCGCCGGGTTCAAGGCGCACGCGGTGTTTGTGTCGACAGTGCACGCGGGGATTGTGTCCGGGCTCGCGGGGTGCGCCGTGGCGGGGAAACTCTGCGAGGTCTTCACACACGGTCGAGAGCGCAAAGCTAAGAGACTCCTTGATAGCTGGGTCTGGGGGTCTGTTGTTTATTTGTGTTTTTTTTCATTATTTCTCTCTCTCTCTCTCCTTTTCCCTCTCTCCGATCTAGAGCCTGAAAGGAGATGTTGGAGCCCCAAAAGGAGGGACGGCCAAGGCCCCAAAAGGGCGGGAACCCCAACCCTAAGCCCCAAATGCAGAAGCCTGAAACTCCAAAAGGAGACCTTTGCTGACCAAGCCTTAAGCCCTAAAAGGAGATGTGGGGAAGCCGGGAAGGGGCCTCCTTAGACGCGCGGACGAGTGCGCCCTGCGCAGCCATGGGGGTCTAAGTGCATCCTGCCACATCAGGAGATGGACTCGCCCTCGTTTCCTGGAGTCAGGACATCTATGTGCGATCTGCAAGCTGCAATTTTCTGTTTGTGGTGCAGATGGGCTGTGAATGGCTGTGAACAGGCTTTAGACGGTAGCGGATGCGCTGGCATGGGCAGGACCGTGTACAGAAAGGAGATCATGGAGGGCCACCTCAAGGCGACCGACGAGGCAAAGAAAGCCGCTGCCCTGCTCAAGTACAACCAGTTGCCGATGGAATGCTTTCTTGGCATCAGGCAACGGCGTTGCGAATCGGACTCCTGGTCCCCGGAGGTAGCGATTGGAGTGTCCAGGACAGTGCCCCCCAATGCATCTTCACACCAATTTATCACCAACATTTAAAGCCCAGATGCTTGCTGTTGGATTTAGGGGCGCCTTTTCGTTAGCAGAACCTTTGCCCGTTTCATGTCGGCGCTGCATCCGCTTCTTGGCCCGAGCTTTTTTTTCTTGCGGGGCTGTCACGGCCCGGCAAGCCCGGAACCTACCTGCACTCGCATCGTGGCCTTGTGATGGCTTGTGCAGCCGGACACGTGGCTGTAGGAACTTGAGCTCAGGAGAGATGTTTTTCTGCTAACGGAGATGGGCTGGTGCGGGCGCGGTTCTCAGGGCCTCGCCACACCAGGCAAATGAGAAGCGTTCCCATGCAGAATGCTCAGCGGAGACCCGATTCCTCCTCAACCAGGCCAAAGGAAAGGAAACTGTCGCTATTTGTTGCTTGTTTCAGGGTTTAACATGTGCTGGACTGAGTCTTTGGAGGGTTCGAAGTTCGAAGGCTGTGCCTCAGATTCGTTATGAGCAAAACAATGCAAAACGAACGAGATAGTCTGGCCTTACTAGTATTGAGAGCTCACGACACTGTGCCAGCACGGTGCCAACAGACCACCCCTCTTGAGAAGCACATGCGTAGACCCGGGAGGCAGGACAACACCTCTTGCCAGGCAGTTTCCCTGCAAGCGTAAAGGGGACAGAGCCACGCACGCACAATGCATCTCCCATAGGACCTCGGCGGCAGAAACTTACCAATGAGGTTGGTAACCCGAAAGTCCCGGCCAGTTTCCGATTGTAGACGTTATGGGGGCTGCATTCCCGATCGCCCCAGGTGAAGTCCCGTCGCCCAGCACAGACGACCTGAGGAGCAGCATTGGTACCTAGAAGAGTCGGAAAACACATGTGAGCGATGTCTAGAGTTAATGATCTACACAAGACCCAGCACCCTTCACCTGTAAGGCAGCTTCCAAGTTCCCTCAGAACGGAGCACTCACCATAGATTCAGAGCCGAAGATACCTACCATGGTACATTGCATACGTTAGCTGCTTGCTTCGACTCGCTAGACAACGAGTGTAAGACTCGGTGGCTGCACGCTGGCCGGCCACGTGTGGATACGCAAGGGGCTCAGAGAAAACTCAGAGATCAACTCAGAGCAGCCGTCACCAAAGTGCGCTCTTCACAGCATTTGGTCGTTGCATACCTTCGCTAAAGCCCGAGCGTCGTTCGGAAACAGCCTTTCTGTTCACTTCTTGCCTTTGTGGCGGGTGACAAGGCCGACAAAGCAGTTGGATGCCAAGAAGTGCTCAAGGCTTCCTGGCTTCACTGGACTTGGACTGCTTCGCGAACATGTCATTTTGCAAGAAGACGGTTGGTATTTGTATTGCAGGGCGGTGCAGGGTAAGCCCAGCATTTATGCCGTGAAAGACTATCAGAGTCTGCTGGTCCTCAGGTCATGCGGTGTCGGCAGCCAAGCATGGGGCGAGGTTTCAACCGCATGCGGCATGTTCTCAACTCGTACACTTTCGGATTGCAATTGCATGGGCTCTTTTTTTTTCATCTGTGGGGCTGCACCAAGGACCCAGCTCCTGCTCCTCTTTCTTCTCACCTGGCAGTCGCGGCAGCAAGCAGATGCCTTGGCCATACCTCACCCTGAGTCTAGCACTCATGTCGGTATGTCGCTGCCAAGGATGAGGATGAAGAGAACATGAAAGTATACTGGTCTGTTCCTGCAGACGACGCAATCATGCGATCCACTTTGAATGGGTCCGACTTGGAGCCAGGGGCCAAGACATTCTGAGAGGCAGGAAGCAAACGTGCAACTGCATGGGGCCACCTTGACAGCTTAACAGCGCTGGCGGTACGTGGTGACAAGTGGAACCGTGGAGGGTATGTAAGGCTTTGCAATGCAAGTCATGGCTCATGACCGTTTCAAGACACGGTTTTCTCCTCCAAACTTTGCACGCGTGCCTATATGATGCCGAGGATTTATCGCAGTGGGCTGGTCAACCCATACGGAGTTGTTGTGGACAAGCCGACCGCGACGCGAACCCGGCCCCATTACAACCATGTTGTGGCGAGCAGCGGGCACAAACTGCATGTACGATGTCGGTTCTGGAATGCAAGCCGCCCGCCTGGAAGCTGATTCCGAGCGCACAGCAGCAGTCGTCCGGCATTGTCCTGGCAGGATCTACTGGTCGGCGCAGCAGGCGATTCAGCGTGCCTGGCTTCCAGATGACAGTGGTGCTGTCGAGGAGTGCTTCTGTGGCCCACAGCTTGCACACCCGCTTTTGGGTAGGGAGGCCCACGGGCCAGTCTCTGCCTTCTCTTCATGTCTCTGCTGGATCAGGACTGGGTGAATGCGTCCGAAGGCCGCTTCTGCATGGGATCGCTCGTCGCGAAATCAATAGCTGCTACTTGGTAAGCTCATGTTACTTAATCATCGTCTGAAGCAGGGAGACCTTAGGACCTTAGGTAACAAGAGTGAACCAGCTGTCTTGAATGATGAGGTCGGGCTTCCGCATGCTAATTCTTGTCAGGACTCCGGTCTCCCATGGGCCTTGCGCAGGAGCCTGACCACTTGCAGATGCGTTGGCACTTGGTGCCCCCCAAAAAGGTATCTCAGAGTATATGGGTGGGGGGGGGTAGGGGGGTTGAATATTAGGGGAAGGGATTATACTCGAACGGTTTTGATGTGTTTTGGCTTTCCGCTTCTCGAACCCCATGAGGTTGGACGAGACGAACCGAGTTCTGTATTGGGCCGACCAGACAACGGGAAAGGCTCCGTCGGCCTACTTTGTTTCATGGTTCCACGAATGGCACATCACTAGACTTACCTGTTGCTCTGGCTTCAACTGCGTTTGGCAGATTCAGCGAAAGCCTTTGGATGGCGGGTGCCGACCTCAGTAGATGTCCGAGTTTCCACACCGGACGAACCTCGTTTTTGCAGAGCGAGTTCTCACATCTGCGTCTGAGTAGCACACCTGGCGCAGCGTGCACAGGCCAATCGAAGATGTCGCAGACAACGTCGAAGAACCCAGTGGTGTCGCTGTTGACGTGGACGGCGGCCAGGCTTGACATGCACGTCCAGCTGAGTCGTCGTCAATGCCGTCGTCGGCATGACTACAGTCGCTTTCAGGAGAAGCAATCGGCAAGTGCACTCTCCTGTGATCAGGTTTTCTTCCTCAGTTTTGACCTGGGAATCGTCGGTGCCTCAAGTTTGGAGGCCTTCTAGTCTCGTTCATGCTGGCAAAGGTGTACTTAGGAATGCTTGGGCTCGAGACTCGCGTGTGCTAGCGCATTTGCTAGCCGTATCCTGCAGGATGGCAGGGCGCTGCACTGGAAGACGCTAGGGCCCGTCGAGCCATGACCAGCAGAAGATATCACGCTTCCTTACGGCGGCATGAACCCCGCCCAGCCGGAGTCGAAAATCTGAGACGAGAAGACCAAATTGGGTTTCCGAATAAAGGGAAACCGGACGAAGAGTGCAGCAGAAGTTGCAGCGGGCCCTGCATCAGCAAGTGCAGCAACCCTGTCTTGAGAAGCACGAATTTCAGCCCAAGAGCCAAAAGAGGCCTTCCTAGTCCGAAGCCTATGCCTGAAGGGCTGTGGAGATGAGAAAGCTCGATGACGTGATAGTGACAGGCTAGCACCCCCTCGCACTCCAGCGCAAACGGCGCAACTCTCGCAAGAGGAAGCTCGGACTTCGCCTTCAAAAGACCAATGCTCCTTTCACCGAGCCACACCAATAGCAAACATCAAGCAAAAGCAGTGTGTATGACGGGAAGTGAAGCCAGATTGAGAGCAACCTTGACAGGGCTTCCAGGGCAAGGATGAGGGTGTCTACCCTTGATGCAGTGTGTTTATTTGTGCAAGGCTTCGCGCAAGGCCCGAGTTAAACTCATCTTAGCACCGGTGCTGATATGAGTGTGCCCACCTATGCTCGACGCTTTACCAGTCCGACGAGGACCTGGGTGTCAGTTGTCAGAACAAGTTCTTGCTTGACGCAAGCGAAGACACGAATAGAGAGGATTCTCAGCTGACGTGGCCTCCCCTTTCCTTTTTGAGCCGTCAAGATTCACCTTCGTTAGTTCTGCAGATTTGTTGATTCATGACTGGCAAAGGTGTATGGTCGTGACATTGATCTTTCGCAAGACAAATACCAGGCGCCACGGCCCAGTCAAGTGTCGACGGTGTGCCAGTGTGGGTGGGAGCGGGTGGAGAGAATATTGCATTGTGGGTTTGTCAGCAGATAGGAGTCTCCAAGCCCCAACAAAACTGCATCAATAAGCAAGTCTTGATTCATTCATTTGGCAGCAGTTTTGTCTGTTGCAGGTGGCCACTACATATTCTCCATACGGGCTTGTTGTGGATACGACCAACGCGCAGCTCCTTGCCCAAAATGCAGCAATTCAATGAGGTTGAATGGGTCAGGTGCCGCGCTCTGAGGCTCTGCAAGGCCCTTTAATACTCTAAACCGATACCATACAATATTCTGTTGTGCTTTAAGCAAAAATGCCCGAAAGAACCCTCAATGAACTGAGCAGATGCACTTGACCAGGCTGTACTGGTCGAGCCGGTCTGACAACAAGATCCAGCGTTCGAGCCATAAGTGCATCGCAATGTAGTGCCTGTTCGGGCAGTTTGCATGATCTGCGTTCTTTTGGGCGAAGCGTGAAGAATGCTAGTGTTAGAGGAAGGAAGAGTTGAAACACTCACTTCAATTCATTTCCGCTGGCCAACGGCCATTGGTGGGTGTGAAGTGAAGATCATAGACACATCCGAATATGTCGTAACACATCAAGCCACCCCACATTCCAGCTCAGGTTGGGACATAGGCTACATTGGCCAGGACCCAGAGACTTTCCTGTCTGGCCTGGAGCCCCAGACTGGCGTGCTGTTCGTGTGTTCTGTTGGTCTGATTGGGCTTGCTCAGGTTTGAACAAGCCAATGGGACTTACCATCGAGTCGGCATCTTACGAGCAGATTGAGGGATCCGGGAGTAGGTGCGAGTGTGTACACGCGGAC